GCCGGTGCCAGTGGCGGGGAGAATAGAATGTGCAAGGAGCGTGCCGGCTTGAGGCTGAATGCATCCCCCAAACTTCTCCAGCTTCAATCTCGGCGTCCATGGTGCAAGAGGTCCCTTGCCCCGCTGGAGCCACAATTATACAGCGCACCTCCCTCATCCTCCAAACGCACAGGTCAGCAGGGCGGAGCGGCTGCTGTTTGCGCCGGCCATCGACTGCGGGCCCCTGCCGCTGGAGATTGGGGGCATCACCTTTCCTCTTCTCAACCCCAACAAACCCTCAGCCGTCGGGGTACCAGTCCCTCCACACGGCGGTGCGGGGTCCGGAGGGCGTGGCCATGGAGGTCCAGATCCGGACGTCCACCATGCACAGCCAGGCGGAGTACGGTGAGACCCCTGGACGGGAGGGAGGGCCGCATCCGCACCGGCAAGGGGGATTGATTCCTGCGAAGGGGGAAGAAGGGGGCCCGGCGCCACTGACGCACGCCAAACCCACAATCACAGCTCCTCCTCCACCACCACAACTCCGTCCCCATGAGCTCAGGTTCCACCGCCGCGCACTGGGTGTACAAGGAGAGCCCGTCTGCTGCGCTGAGCGCATTTTCCTGCGGCCCCTCCCCCGCCTCGCTGCGGCCGGGCCACCCCGTGCTCCAGATCGGCGGCGACGGCACGCTGCGTGACGCGGTGGTGACGGCCGTGGAGGAACCGGGCGGGATGCGGCTGCTGGTGGCGGTGTCCATCACCCGCCGCGCATTCAAGACCGACAGCGTCGTGGTCGCCAGCACGCAGGAATACAGGTGTCCCGGGGGGTGGGGGGTGAGGCTTCACCAACGAAAGGCCTGGTGGGGGTGGCACAATGGCTCAGGACGAGGCACGAGCCTTCAGCCCAACATATGATGCTAGCGATGCCAGCCCATGCCCGTCTCGCCCCGCCCCACTCCCACGCAACCAAACGCAGCCGGCTACTACGGCGAGTCGAGCGCCGCGGTTTCTTCGCCCCGGGCCACGGCGACCTCCAGATCAAGCTGGAACGCTACTCACTGTGCTCAGGTGGGGCAAGGGGGGATGGGGGATCTGTGCTTGCGTTAAGCAGGGGGTGGGGCTTGTGTGTTGCACCCTCCGGGGGGATGGAAAGTGTCCAGGAGCAGGCAGGGTCCAGTCGTGACTTGGATCAAGCCTGCCTTGGCAATACATCTCAGCTGACGCTGGTGCCGTGCTGACCCCCCCCCCCACCCTCAGTGACCATGCCCATCACTCTTCCTCATTCTCACCCCATGCTCCACACCAGACGGCAAGTACCACTGCCTGGACCGCTACGGGCACAAGCTCTCCAGCACGATTGTTCCCCTACACTGGAAGGGGCCGCTGCCGGGGACAGCCTACCTCCCTCCTGCTGAGGTGGGCGAGGCCTCGAGCAATCCTGGCGAGACGACATCCGGACCAGAGGCGATTCCCTCCAAGCCCGTGCTGGTGGAGGGTGGGGAGGCGGCGGACACCGCCTTTGTTGCCAGCAGGGTGAGCTGACCGGGGGGTGAAACTGATTTAGGACGGCGGGATGACATCTGCACATGTGCGAAGCGGGGACTGCAGGGTAGGAGTCCAGCGCCTGCCGGATGGGCTCCTCGGAGCAGTCCGTGCTAGGGTACTCCAAGCCCTTACTGTGGGCATGCAGAGGATGGCCCTGCTGTGCAAGACCACTCACTCCAATTGATGATCCTCCTGCCAGGTGCACCTGCTGCGCTGCATGTTGGAGTGGGGCGGGGACCTATCCCGGCCCCCGGGGTCAATAGACGTGGCACCCGCCCCGGTCCAGCCGGTGGTGAACCCCATGGTCGTCATCGTGGTCTGGCCTGGGGGGGACATCCTGCACCGTCCCCGGGGAACCACAGCAGGTGGGATCTGCGTTTGGAGTGGATGGGCGCTGATCTGGTGGTGGCTGCCTGCCGGGCCAGCCGAGGCGGTTTCAGCCGGGGACAAAGTTCCACCTGCCCTCCCCCGTCCTCCCATGCCCCAGGGGAGCTGGTCGAGGAGCTGGGGATGGTGGAGGTGGAGTCTTCGCGCGGAGCGCAGGAGCAGGGCTCGCCTGCGCCCCCGGGCTTCGTCAATGTTAACAACCGGCTGATACCCGAGGATACCCCCCTGGCCGACGGTGACTACGTGGTGCTGGCCAGACAGCCCGTGAGAATCTGAATTTGGGTAAGAATGCATGCTTGCTTGGCTGACCCTGACCCAGAACCGTCTGGAGTGGATGTACACTCTCTTAAGGGTTGGGAAGTAGATCCAAGAAGGGGGCGACCCCGGCCGAGATGAAGGATCCGATCTGCCCTCACCGAATTGGGGGAGAATCCCGAAAACCCACCCTGACCCATGGAAGCTTTGCTTCGCCGTCATACCCCTCGAAACTGCTGCACTGGCTGTTGTATGTCCCAGATGCTAGAACTGGGCGTCCGAGCCTTAAGTTGGTGAGGGTACCCCAGCCCACAGCAAGGCCTCAGAAATCCAGGTCCCCATGACAGCGCGTCACACCCCCTTACCGCCCCGTGATCCAATGCGTGCGAGAGCCACCGTTTAGTTGCCCAGTCATGCGCGCCTGCCAGGTCCACTGTGCCGGTGCACCCTCGCTGGGCGGGATCGCAGCCCGGTCCCGAGGTGCGCACCGTTTCTTGGGCGCCATCCTGTTTCGTGCTGCACACCCGCGGGATCATTACAACTCCTTTTGACATCTGCAGGATGGACGCCCTCACGTCGGCCCAAGGCGCGACGATGTACAGATACCCTTCCCAGGCCCCCTCAGGGCCCATCCGCCCATGCACGAGGGCTGGGTAGGCAGGTGAGCCAGGGGAGTGCAGGACGTCGGGGCACGGAACGATCCGACTCACTAGCTCCACCGTTCGCACGCACATGCCTGCTGCAGGCACCCGCCAGACAGTTGCGCACCAGAGCACTGGATGAGTATGACGATCAGGTGGGGTTGGCGTGGGGCTTCCTGGATGCGGAGGCGCCAATCGTGGCAAATTGTATCTCTATGTCCCTTTGTTGCACCAGTAATTGAGCTGGCGGACCCGGCCTCCCATCACAGGTCTACAGCGAGAGTTGCCGGACCGGTGCGGTGTCCGAGGCCTTCCTGTGGGAGGGCCGGCTGGCGCCCCTGCTGACCTACCTACCGCCTCACGAGGCGAGTCTTGTGGGGACTGGACAGGGTGGTGGCGGCACGCACATGTTGCTGACTCACAGAATGGGCTGGCAGTGCTGTACATTCCGCTCCTTGAAACACACCTTTCACACGTGCAAGCCCCTCGCTGCGGCACAGGTGGTGAGGGTGCGAGAGGCCTTGAGCCTTGCCTACGACGCCCACGCCGGCCAGAAGCGGCGGTCGGGGGAGCCCTACATCACCCACCCGGTGGAGGTCGCTCGCATACTGGCCGAGCTGAGGATGGACCATGAGAGCCTGGTGGCGGGTACGAAGTGTTTTGGACAAGAGCGGGGAGAATGGCCTTGGGGTCCATGCTGCCAGCCTAGACTGTGCTCAAGACTGCCCGGCTTTGTCACGGGCGACGCGAGCTTTGCTCTTCATGGATCATGCCGGCCGCCCAGGTGCTCTGTGTGGAGTCATTCCGGCAAATACGCCGTCGCCCCCCCCTCCCCCCTCCGAAAGCGTTGTATGCGCCCAAGATCTGGCCCCTTTTCCTCCTTTACACCCCTTCACAGGCCTGCTGCACGATACGGTGGAGGACTGTGGGGACGTTGTGGGGCTGGACGAGATCGGGTTTCACTTCGGCCCGGGGGTACGGCGCATTGTGGAGGGCGAGACCAAGTTCAGCAAGCTGCCGACGCGGCCCGCGGAGGCAGGGGAGGGCGGGCTGGGCGCCGCGGCCGCGCTGCGCCCGCCGGGGTCGAGCGGGGGCGACTCCCGTGCAGAGGACATGCGCTTCCTCTTCCTGGCCATGACGGAGGAGGTGCGCATCATCATCGTGAAGCTGGCCGACCGCCTGCACAACATGCGCACCATGCGGAGCATGCCCGGGCCCAAGCAGACGCGCATCGCGCGCGAGACGCTGCAGGTTGGAAAGGAAGGAGGAGGGGGGGAGGTTGAGGCTGGGGTTTGGAATGGTGCAGATGGTGGGCAGGGGGGGTACGGGCTTGCGTGGGGATAGGTAGCAGGCAGCAGATCGATGTTAGCTTGAAACACATTACCTTAATCAAAGTTTATTGGCGCACCCCCAGAGAATGAGGATATAACCCCTTTCTTCTTCCTCCTTTCCTCCCTCCGCCAGGTGTTTGCCCCGCTGGCCCGCCTGCTGGGCCTGTATGCGGTGAAGGAGGAGCTGGAAGACCTGGCCTTCCGCTACGCCTGGCCGGAGCGCCACCTCTTCACCCAGCGCCTGGTGGCGCGGCTGTGGCGCGAGCAGGCCGCCACGCTGGAGGCCGCGCGCGACGAGCTGGCCTCCGCGCTGGCCGCCGACCCGCTGATCCGCGGCGCAGGGCTGGGCGTGGACGCGCGCGCGCGCTGCCGCTCGCTCTACTCCATCTGGCGTAAGATGGAGGCGGAGGAGCAGAGCGTGCACGGCGTGAACGACGTCTGCCAGCTGGTCGTGGTGCTGAGCCCTGGCCCGGGTCGCGAGGATGCAGACAGAGGGTGAGGGGGGAAAGGGGTTCGGGGAGTGTTGGGGTATGTGGGGGGAACAGAGATTGTTTGGGGGCCGGGATCCCCCGAGAGAAGAGCAGACTGGGATCCTGCATGCATGCAGGGACCTGGTTGGGAAATGTAAGATCCCTGACTCCATTGGTGGAGGATGATGGAGTGGGGATGGGGGTGCGTCAGGTGGCTGGGCCGACCCGGCCTAGAATCCCACATCAAGCGTTCCTGGGGACCCATTCTGTCTTGTTCGCCTCCACACTCCATCAGCTCATGTACCCTCTCCACACTCACCCACCCATGCAGTACCAGCGACAGCCTGATGTGCTACCATACCCTGGGCCTGGTGCACAGCATGTGGATCCCCATCCCCGGCACGTTTCGTGACTACATAGCGCAGCCCAAGATGAACAACTACCGGGCCCTGCACACCAAAGTGAGGGCCGAGAGGGGTTTGCGAGCGGGGTTGGGACGGGGTCCAGGGCAGCAGGGGTTGAGCAGCCGTGGAGGGTGTCCTTATACCGAATCACAGGCTTATGCTCGCTTCCAAGGGCTTCTCTCAACAAGGATCGCTTTGCTGCATGCACTTGGGACCTAGATGCCCCGACCGTGCATGCCCAAGGTCCTCCATTTGTCCGACCCTCAGCTCCTGAACCCTCTCCCTGCGGCGCCAGGTCATGCCCCGGCACGCCAGGACGGGCGGAGAGAAGATCGACGAAGCGGGGGAGGGCCCCTCCCCACGCCTGTTCTCCATCGATGTGCAGATCCGGACGGCTGCCATGCAGCACCTGGCAGAGTACGGCGTGGCTGTGGACTGCTGGCAGGGTGCGGAGGTGGCGCAGGCCCCGCCCAGCGCGGAGCCCGCACAGCCCGTCGCCGACCTGGCAAGCCGGCTCTGGCCGCTGTGGGGCTGGCTGGGCTGGGCTGGCGCTCCCGCCGGCGAGCGCCAGGGGGCGGCTGGCGGTGCTTCGGGCAACGGCAGCCGAGCTGGGAGCGGAGTCCCGGCGACAAACGGCAGCCAAGCCACGAACGGCAGTCCACCAACGAATGGCAGCCGACTGTCGGTCAGCGGCGCTGCAAATGGCAGGCAGGCTACGACGGCGGCGCGTGTCGCCCCCTGGAACGGCTCTTCGGGATCCGACGCAGGGGCCCTCGCCTGGGGCGGCGGCTCCGAGGCCGAAGGCGGCGGCCTCATGCTGCAGGCTCGGCTGGATGCGGGGGCCATGTCGCGCCGCATCAACTGGCTCAACTCCATACGCCAGTGGCAGGAGGAGTTCCTGGGCACCCTGACAGGTATGGTGTAGGGGTTGGGGCAGGGAGGGGCATCATTGTTTGCCGTGCAGGGGGACGGGCCCAAGCGGGGACACCGCGTCGACTGCCTCGCAGCATCGTGTTATGGAGAGTGATTGTCTGCAGCAGCCCCTGTCGGAAGTCCATCTGGTTCTCGACTGCCCAGGGGTGAGCGAGCTGGAGGGCGCAGGCCTTGCGGTGCCTGTCACAGCCCTGCAACCGCATCTCTCCCCTTCCCCCTGTGCTCTCAGCCATGGAGTTTGTGCAGTGTGTGACCGATGATCTGCTGGGGCGTGGCGTCTTTGTCTTCACGCCTTCGGGCCAGATCAAGCGCATGCCCCGGGTGAGGCAAAGGACTGGAGGACTGGGGGGGGTGAAGTGGAGCTGAGGGTGGCAGGCCGCGCTGAGGAGGCTACCAAGCCATATGCGGCCTTGCATTGAAACCCAGCTGGCCTTTCCCATTTGTTGCGGAGTTGGTCCGCATGGACTCAAACGCATGGAATGCACCAGGCTGCATCCCCCGGTAGGCATACAACCATATCCTATTCCTCCCATTCCTCCCTCCTCCCCTCCTGCAGGGCTCCACTGTGGTTGACTTTGCGTACCACATCCACACGGACGTGGGAAACGCCATGCTGGCTGCCAAGGTCAACGGCAAGCTGGTGTCCAATGACCACCGCCTGGGGAATGCAGGTGAGCCTGCGGGGCCCTGGCTCAGGGGCTTTAGGTCGGCGTTGGCAGTGGCTGGCAAGGGCCCTCTGCCCGAGGATCTCAATCAAGTTTTCTCGAGTGCGAGTCACGTGCAGGCTTCTCTGTTCGCCGCACCTCCCTCCCACCCCCATCGCCACTCTGACACTGCAGAGGTGGTAGAGATCATCACCTCCAAGGGCCCGGTCAGTGCACAGCTCCTCCGGCGACACCAGGCCTGGTTGAGCACTGCCCAGACCAAGACGGCCCGGCACAAGATCGCGCGCTTCCTGAGGGAGCACGCCATGCCGACAGTGTTCCAGGGCCTGACGCCGCCATGTGAGGAGGGGGGAGGAAGGTGCGGGTTCCAGGAACATGTGAGGCTGAGGATCGGCGTCACTGCCCCTGGCTGCGTCAAGCCCAATGAAAATGCTGACGAGTGGCTGGCACCCACGCAGTCACTTCTTATTGTCCATGCTTTCTTATCCCGGGCGCACAGACTCCCTTGACGCGAGCCAGACGAGCCCCGGCGACGGCGCCGGCCCCCGCCCGGTCTGGCTTCGGGTGCAGTGCGCCGACCGCCCGGGCCTGCTGGCGGAGGTGGCGGGCGTCATCGCCAAGCACGACTACAATGTCCAGGTGAGGGGAAGGACTACGTGACCTGGATAGATTGGCAGGGTGCAGCCTCTGGTGTCTGTGGTTTGGCTTTCACAAAGCTTGCCCGGCGTCCAATGATGCCTCGGCCTCAGAGCCGTCTGGGCGCCTACAGCCCCAACATTCACACCCACATCCAAACGTTTGCAGAAGCACAAGGGCACATCCAGCGCAGCGTCCTCCCAGTTTGGGATGGAGTACGAGCTGCAGGGCTCCCAGGAGCGGCTGAGCCAGCTCTGCAGCGACCTGGATGCGCTGCGCGGCGTGAAGAGCTGGGCGGTGGGGTGCAACTGCCCTGACCCATGACCGATCCTTATCCCAACGAGGCCAGGCGGGGCGGCTTGCCTGCGCGATCGACTGCCGCCAGGACTCTTGCCTGCCGAGCAGCGGAGGCGCAGATTTTGGCGGTGGCGAACGCCCGCTACTCCCCCCCCATAC